TGAAAGCTTGCGCTCTACAACGCTACTACATATTTCTACAGTGCATCCCTGATACCAGGGAAAAATGACAAGAATGCAGGGCGGAGACCGCCAGCACCGGTTGTCGACACCACCTTGCTTTTTTCGTGAGTCCAACACCAGCCATCCCGGTATGGAATGCCGCAAACGTGACGGTGAAATGACTCTCGAGCACTCTGATAAACTGCCAATTTATTTACAGCGTTTAGCAACTCGAGCGTGGCATCAGGGAGAATAATGTCCCCTTCAACATGCATGCATATCTCTCCGTGAATACAGCGCTGGTGGAGAACGCCGAGAGCGTGTGACGGTGCGGGCTCAGGGCCGCGTCCCTGAGAACGGCCTGGAGACCACGGGTCACCGTCCTGAGAACGGCCTGGAGACCGTGGGTCACCGTCCTGAGAACGGCCTGGAGACCGCGGGTCACGTGCTGAGAACGACCCGGAGAACGCGGGTCACCGTCCTGACAACGGTCTAGAGACCACCGGTCACCGTCCTGATAACGGCCTGGAGACTGCGGGTCGCGGTACACGCCAGAAACTAGTTGTCGCTTGCAAGGCTTGTACGTGTGTGTGCATACACTCCGTATTAAAACGTCATATATGAACGGAGGCGAACAGGTGTGAATGTTGGGTGCTTCTGAAGAAAGGATGGCATTACCTAAATATTGTCGGGCATTGCCTTTGATGCGTGGGCGCATCGAGGATGCTGCGTGGGGTGGGACGGTGGGGTGGGACTGGGGCGGGACGGTGGGGTGGGACAGTAGGGTGGGACGGTGGGGTGGCACGGTGTGGTCAACCCCAGCTTGGGGTGCCCAAATAAAAGCCATACTGATTTTCAACAACTTCTTGTATTTCACTTCCTTTCACGTCACGCAGGGTTCTAAGTTTTAACACAAACTCATCCCAGTCAAAGTTTCTTAAATTTTGTTCAAATTCCAGAACTGTGTCTTCCTTTGCCCGGCTTGGGCTACCTGGAGTGGGTGGCGTGGAGGGGGGGGGGGGATGACCCGGTTATCCCCCGTGATCCGCTCCCGGCCGCCGCATGACTGTTTCTGCGCCGGTCACAGCTCTCAGAAGAGAACTGAGACCGAACTGAGACCTTCGAACTCTTCTCAGGAAGAGTTCTCAGACTCGGCCCTCAGGTCCTCGAGCATTTACAGATCGTCTCTTGTCGGGCCTCGGCCCGAGAACGTTGTAAACCCGGGCTATGCGGGACCGGCTGTCTCTCCATCCACACGACAGCCGGAGGTGTCGACCCGGCTGGGGAGACACTTAAAAGAAAAAAGTTCGCGGAATTTTTGGTTGGATGGATTTCTGGGATGGACCTCTGAACGCTGGTACAAGTTGTCAAAGTGCAAAAAAGTGTTTGAACCGTTGGAGCGAGCATTTGGAGCATGCAATACAACAGTTCTAAGTCAACGAGAGTAGTCTCATAGTTACAAACTTGGGTGCACTAAACGCACAGAGTAATAAACATGCGACTTGTAAATTTGATGTCCACAACGCGGTGGATAAAGCATCTAGTTACAGCACTATCATATTTGTCTTCAAGACATCCATCTTTTATCATCTACAATTTTTCGGGTATCCAAAAATGGCGTCTTAAAAGACTTGATACCGGCTACATTCATACATAGTTTAGTTGCTGAGATTCTCGTTCGTGGAACATCATGGGGCTCAAAGCAGAATTATCTGCAGCACATAAAGCAACTTATTTTCAGATTCACTTCAGCGGAACGGCTTATTTGTATGGCGTTTTTCACATTCGATAAGCTACTCGCACACCCGCGACGAAGCAGCTTGACTTACAGGCGAGCATGGCCTACATATTTGTTGTTAGTATAGTTTATTATTATATTTATTATTAGTATGTTATAATGTTAGTATCATCACATCTATTATTAGCGTATTATAATAAAGTATTGGTATGATATATTTATTATTAGCATATTGTTATTATATTTCTATTTCTATTTCTATTATCAGGATATTATATTAGTATTATTATCTTCATTATTAGTATATTATAATGTAGTATTGGTATACTACATTTACAAGTGGCCGGGTTATTTAGACATTCAGTTGCTTCTGCTTTGTAACACGCACCCTGGTGGCCTGTTGAATACAACGCCGCTTGGGTGGCGTGGGAGCCAAGGGCAGCTGTTGCCGTCAATAACGCCGGGCAGTCATCGCCATAGTTCGCCTGCTGGGAAGCCAGCGACAGGACGGGGACTCAAGTAGCTGTCATCAGTGAATGCCGTTGTTGACCTCGGCTAGCGCAAAGTAAACCGGCTGGTATGCCACATGATTCCGGGTGGTGTGATGTTAGGCCGGCTAATATGTGATGTGGGTAGGTGAACTGGTATTAGGTCGGCTGCGCCATATGGGTATGGGTGATGTGATATTAAGCCGGCTATGCGATGCAACGCCGGCTGTAATATAAGAGCGGCTGATATGTGATATTAAGCCGGCTGTAATAC